GTTATAAATTTATCAATCTAATCATTATCTAAACCATCACAGAGCAGTGAATACATCACACTATTTCTATTGTACTTTCGCAAAAACTATTTATGCAAAAAGCTTTTATGCTACCGACATGGCTTAATATCCTATTGTATGAGAAAAACGCCAATTAATGAAAAATTTGTGGAAAAGAACAAATGATTACAAAATTTAACACTTTTTGAAGAAGTTGCCTTCCTTTAATAATGTACATCTACTTTTATCTTGTTTGCATGGGAAAAAAAATTGAACAACAGGTTTTACTTTGCCTTGAAAAAAACACACAAAGATTGTGAAAAATCAAATACAAAAAAGAACAATACACAGATTGACGCCATAGAAAATTGTCCAGCTAGACACGCTGCTTCTGCTTTGTGCTTTCTGCTACTCGTTTTGTTTTTAGCAAGCTGACTTTGAGGGCAGAAGCGAAAAAAACGTGGAAAGAAGTCAGTGGCGCGATTTTTATGTCCGACAATTCCGGTGAGTTCTCATCGCCGCGCTTATTCACGTGTAGTAATTTTATTGTCCCTGCGCTTGCATCCACCCGCGCCTCTCCTTCATAGAGGAAAGGGGTCAGAGCCGGACGAAACCAGCCACAGACCAGATGGGCATTTTCATACTCACACACTGGATACACCGATGTGGTTTGAATTACTCACCTACGTCGTTCGGACAAACAATACAAGGGTAGAAATGCATCAGTAAAACTTGTTCCTTTTCAGCAATATATATATATATATATATATATATATATATATATATATATATATATTCAAAAAGAAATTCGGATTACCAACACACAAACAGAGAATGTCTCATATCGAGAATATTTAACATTGAACATAAGGAAAAAATTAATTATTTTTAATAATATGTGGAAATCTCCGCTTTTACCTGAAGACGGTCGCGAGACCAGAAACTCGTGTCGTAAAATTATGTAAAAACAAAGCATGATATTTTTTTTTTTCTAAATAAATCCACATTACAACCAAAAAACGTTTGCGGCACCTCTCTTCTCTTTTTTTAATATACATACTTTTCTCTCGTGGAACCACTACAACATATTTCTTTTATATATATATATATATATATATATATATATACACACATATATATATATATATATATATATATATATATATATATATATATCCTCCTGCGTCCCCCGTTTAGGCCCTTAGTCCACACTGTAGAGTATTAGGGCGCTCAATTCGAGATGCTGCTCTTGTTGTAATGACAAGTAAGATTTTATGGGATAAAATTTATAGACCCTTGCCCAACCGGTTTCATTAACCGTTTTATTTATTTATTTATTACTGTGCGCTGTGTTCCCAAGCAGCATCCAACAAAGTATTGAATGGGATCGACAAATGAAACATCGCCGATCAAACTTGCATCGGTCTCTCTTCCTCTCTCTCTCTGTATATATATATATATATATATATATATATATATATATATATATATATATATATATATATATGAGTAATCGCCACTAAATTAGGGATCTCACCACCAGAAAAATATCCCTCAGCCAAAATATAGAGGAATACGGAGGACGAAATCTGGAAAATTTTAGTGTCTTCCCATTCTACCAGTGCGACTACAGAACAAAGGCGGATTAATAAAGAAATATTCTTCATCGGTAAGTTCAAGCCAATTATTTAATTCATTACATAAATAGGTTCTACCAAAATTTCTTTACCATAAGCGACATATATACCTAACTTCGCCTCTTGATTTTTTTCATTTGTTGAAAATATAAGCGTCATCACACGGAGTGCCGCCTAAAAAATAAAAATAAAGAAAACATGAAACCAAAGACAAATCCATCAATCAATGTTCATACCATTAATGGACAGTGACTGCTGAACTACCTACTCATCAACACAAAAGCTTTCGGCAGCAAAAAAACACCTTTAAGCAAACTTTTCAAATTGTCCCAAAAATAGACACTTTTTGAAAAGCTAAGCGAAATCTGTTGAAGTAAACAAAGTAAAACAACACATTTTTTTTTTCTATGGAACAAAACACTGAAAATCCAATTGTAAATAATAAAGCTTTTATTTTATTATTTCTCTGTAAAATACTTTATTCTGTCTGCTGTGGTAGATTGTTTTAGTGCCACAATATCATGCCTCTTACGGATGCCTAAGTACCAGTTATCTCCCTTGAACTCAACTCTTCAAGTCTTTGTTTACCTTTGGTGTAGCCAGGTATTGAACTCACAACTCTTTGGATCAATCACTGGATTCACCCAAGGCTTTTATCAACTGGGGCATGTATCCGGTGAAAGAAATAAAGGTTTCAGTTCGAAATTTCAATCACCTGAAGAAGGCCGGATTGTAAGCTGACCGAAACGTCGTGAATATAGCAAGGAAGGTGAGCACAACAGTCCGGGCGAGGTAAATAGTGTAAATAATTACAAAACCTCATCTCAGAAATATAAACAGTACGTTGATCGTTGTAGAGAAAAATGGTAAATGTTGGTGGGCAGGTAATTTCGGAAAAGTCTCTTAGATTATCGCAGATGATAATCTGTTTGAGTCGCAGATGATAATCTGTTTGAGTCGCAGTTGATTATCTGTTTGAGATAAGATGTCACATATGTGGTACAGTCGTCATCGTCAAGTTAAGACGCAAGGTGATTAATTTTGCTGATTTGTGTTTTGGTCTACAGTGAAATATAGTTTTCAAATGAAATCTTAGTCGACTAATTGGCAATATATTTCTCAATAACAAAGTTGACCCAGCAATGTATCTCCGCTGATGAAGACTTCCAGGAAGGTGCGAACAATTATCACTGATTCTTTCAACAAATTCATTCAGAATTTTCATCTAATATAAACAGTTTAATACGATGCCAAGAAAGTATTAATAATATAAACTTATTCAGGATTGTTTTAATTAATTCATATATATATATATATATATATATATATATATATATATATATATAGATATATATATATATATATATATATATATATATATATATATATATATATATATATATATATATACATATATATATACATATATATATATATATATATATATATATATAATATATATACATATATATGCATATATATATATGTATATATATATATATATATATATATATATATATATATATATAAAAATATATATATATATAATTGCAATGTACACATTTATATTTGCATACATTCTTTCGCTGATTCTGGATTGTTTAATTAATTATATATATATATATATATATATATATATATATATATATATATATATATATATATATACATATATATCAATATATATATAATATATATACGTATATATTAATATATATATATTAATGTATGTATATATATATATATATATATCTTAATATATATATATATACATATTAATATGTACACACATATATATATATATATATATATATATAAATATATATATATATATAAATGCAATGTACACTTTTATATTTGCATACGTTCTGTCGCTGATAGTGAGCACTTAAATCCATTAATATAAGATAAAATTATATATATATATATATATATATATATATATATATATATATATATATATATCCTTTACATTGAGGGAAAAATAAGTATTATTACCTTTTCAAAGCAAGATATATTACTTAACAAATATTCAGAACTCATTACTAAATGCCAAGACTAAGTCGAATAATTTTTCCGCTACCTAAAACCACATCTTCTCCGAAATGACTAAAATTTCATAACATTAGTCCTAACAGCATAACAATAAGGTAAAAAAGAAAGAATATGACAAGACTCGTTCAAATGATCTGAAATCTTAAAAGAATATGTAGAAATAGCACAAAATTCTATGTTTAATGTTTTATGCAATTTTCTTTTTCCATTTACTGGAAAAGAAAAGGCGTTTTGGTTGTTGGAATACGCTCGAACACAGCCACAGAAGCATGTACGGGGTGAAATTTTGAGATAATTCTCTAAGCATGCACTGCAGCTTGGAATTGGCACGGAAAGCTCAAATAGACAGACGATAGACGCCCTGCACACTGTTTAAATTAATAACGTTTGAAGTTATTAACATTCCGAATTAAGAATAAATATATTAATTCTTTAGAAATATATAAAATAAAATAATATTGCCGACACATGGAAGGTATATTCTCTTCTCTTTAATAACCTCTCACTATATTTGTTGATCTATTCACATCTTAGATTAACCCTTGATTTGATAAGATAAGATAAGATAATATAATAGCCATTGAGGAGTAATATTAGGTTGGTGCAAAAATAATGACGTAATAATGTCGTTTTTGACGTTAAAAAATACGTCAAAAAACGACATTATTACGTCATCATTTTTACACCAACCTAATAGATAGCGGCTCGGATTGAGGAATCGGAAAGCCGAGTTCGATTTCCTGACGTATCCATTACGTTCATTTACTTACGTGCTGTTATCCCCAGGGAAAGGTATGAATCCTCTTTTCCTCCTCCCCGCTATGGGCAAATAGCAGAACAGCGTTGGATAAAAACAGGTCTGCCGCAGAAAGAAGTGGCAACGTCTTACGGAAAAAAAAAAATCTGCCTCGTCAGTCATGTATCGAAAGATACATGATCGCCTAAGCGTGTATCACGCATGGCACATAACTGACAGACTGACCCTTGGGAAAGGTATGAATCGTCGTTTCCCCCCACCAGCTATGGGTAAATAGCAGGACAGACCGGGTTCTATAACTAGGGATTGCAACTTGTCTACAGCAAAAAGAAATATGCTTCGTCAGTAATGTATCAAGCATGGCACATAAATGACCGATGAATAAAAAATAATCTCGTTTTCGATCGTTGAGAAAATAATTTTGCAAAATAGGTCGAACTGAAAACTTTTAAGCACTTACTCACATCTGTAGTTTTTGTTTGCTTCATCACGAATAATTAGATGGTAATTTAGAAAAATAACTATGACCAATCCAAAAACTATATAAAGTT